AGCGAGAATTGGCATTTAGAGGGCGTATAGAATCTATTAAATCTAATATAAGAGAGTTAATTATATTGAACTTGCTTATTTATTAAGTGCGTTAGATAATCTATTAATTAAAAATACATTTAGAGAAGTCTACGGTTTTTACTGGCTTATCGAACAAACGAATACGAATGGACCCTAGACCATTGCTGACTGATTGCCCCTGGAAGTCGGCTTCTTATAGAAACACAGCTTCCCTATCATCAAATGTCACGGCACGCCACTGATAATTGGTTATCCAAAAAATAAGTTATCCAAACAACTCCAGTCCCCAATTGATTCAGATAAACGACACTACTGTATTATAACTGTATATAGGAACTGTATTATAGTAACAGTATTATAGGTAGGAAAGTTTAAACATAAAATACGATTCAAATATATTTAATCATTTATAATTACAAATATAAATTGTGTAATTCTATTGGCTTTATAACCTTATTTTTCAAAAATCATTAATATATTAAATATCAAAATGCAATATTACCTTGAAATTCATGTTTTGATGCTCTTTCCAGCAATTCTTCTTTCATGCTGTCAATAGTCTCAACAATTAATTTACGAATTTCGTCTTGATTCTCATTTGCAATTTTCATTAATGATTCATACAGTTCTGCTTCTCTTTGTCGTGCATAATCAAGTCGTTTTGGAGTAATTATCATGTCCCATGTCATAGAAAATGCACTCATAATAAACATCCTCAGACATCGATTATGTGCATCATTTAAAATTTTAGCTATGTTAACTAGACGAGCTTGAAGATTTTGTCTCACATACAACAGGATGCTAATAAAAATTAACAAACAAATTTTTAAAATTTTGAATTGTCATTTTCCAAAATTTAACAATTCAAACAATAATATATAAAATAAACATATCTGCCATTTTAAACAAATAATCTGTATTAAATTTCCTTGAAACCTGATTTGAAATATTTTCAATTATTGACATCAATAATATAATTAGCCATCATTACAAAATGAAATAATCACTACACTGTAATTACACTTCATTTTGTAATTACACTGTAATACCTAACTGGCAGATTATTATGTTACATTTGCACTACCAATTTAACCAATTTCATAATTTGTTAAAAGCCATAAATCTAGAAATTGGATATTTGGTTTACTATTAACAAAAATCAGGTTGATGATTTCTTATATGTATATATAGTAAAATAATTGATTCTTCAATTCGAAATAAATTTTATATTAAATATTTTTAGCAGTATTTTCCCAAAACAAAATATCAAGTACAGTAGACCCCCCCTATAATGCGGGTTCCTATAATGGAGATTCCTATGACGTGGCGAAAAAATTGCAACAGTATTCGTATAAAGACGCTAAAAGGGACTCATAAAATGTCGTCGCCGACTTGTGTTGCGACAGGATTGGTTGAATCTGGACCAATAGTAGACAAGCAGTCGAACTACTTACACGCTACAGAGTTTAGGCGAGTAAGTTGAGTTTACTATTGTCTGTACAATATTATATATAAATTAGGTACTGTATATATAATTATATATTAATTATATATAAATTAGGTACTGTATATATAATTATATATTAACTTAATTTATTGTAACTTTATTATAATTATATATATGCTTTCTGCCGCCTGGCAACACGCTACGG